TATTAGAGGCACTGCCTGCCCAGTGACATATATTTCAACGGCCGCGGTATCCTAACCGTGCAAAGGTAGCGTAATCACTTGTTCCCTAAATAGGGACCTGTATGAATGGCCACACGAGGGTTTTACTGTCTCTTACTTTCAATCAGTGAAATTGACCTTCCCGTGAAGAGGCGGGAATAGCACAATAAGACGAGAAGACCCTATGGAGCTTTAATTAACTAATTCACAAAAAATAAAATCTCTAACCCACATCCAGGGGATAACAAAACTTTGACTGAATTAGTAATTTCGGTTGGGGTGACCTCGGAGAACAAGCCAACCTCCGAGTGATTAAATTCCAGACTTACCAGTCAAAAATATTACATCACTTATTGATCCAAACCATTGATCAACGGAATAAGTTACCCTAGGGATAACAGCGCAATCCTATTCTAGAGTCCATATCGACAATAGGGTTTACGACCTCGATGTTGGATCAGGACATCCCAATGGTGCAACCGCTATTAATGGTTCGTTTGTTCAACGATTAAAGTCCTACGTGATCTGAGTTCAGACCGGAGTAATCCAGGTCGGTTTCTATCTATTCAATATTTCTCCTAGTACGAAAGGAAAAGAGAAATAAGGCCCACTTCACAAAAGCGCCTTCAAATCAATAGATGATATAATCTAAATCTAATTAATTTATACACAACATTGCCCTAGACCAGGGCCACGTTAGGATGGCAGAGCCGGAAATTGCATAAAACTTAAACCTTTATAATCAGAGGTTCAACTCCTCTTCCTAACAACATGTTCACAATTAATATTCTCCTCCTAGTCATCCCAATCCTACTCGCCGTAGCATTCCTCACACTAGTTGAACGAAAAGTGCTAGGTTACATACAACTACGAAAAGGACCAAACATTGTAGGCCCCTATGGCCTACTCCAACCAATTGCCGACGCAATCAAATTATTCACCAAAGAACCACTACAGCCATCAACATCATCAACAACCATATTCATCATCGCCCCGATTTTAGCTCTAACCCTAGCCCTAACAATATGAATCCCATTACCCATACCACACCCTCTAATCAACATAAACCTAGGAGTCCTATTCATACTTGCCATGTCGAGCCTAGCCGTCTACTCCATCCTATGATCAGGGTGGGCTTCAAACTCAAAATACGCACTAATTGGAGCCCTACGAGCAGTAGCCCAAACAATCTCATATGAAGTAACTTTAGCAATTATCCTTCTCTCCGTATTACTAATAAACGGATCATTCACACTATCTACACTAATCACCACCCAAGAACACCTATGACTAATTTTCCCATCATGACCACTAGCTATAATATGATTTATCTCAACACTAGCAGAAACCAACCGAGCTCCCTTCGACCTGGCAGAGGGAGAATCAGAATTAGTATCTGGCTTCAATGTCGAATACGCAGCCGGCCCATTCGCCCTGTTCTTTATAGCAGAGTACGCAAACATCATCATAATAAACGCCTTCACTACCATCCTCTTTCTAGGAGCTTTTCACAACCCCCACATACCAGAACTATACACAATCAATTTCACCACTAAAACCCTACTATTAACCACATCCTTTCTATGAATCCGAGCATCCTACCCACGATTCCGATACGATCAACTCATACACCTCCTATGAAAAAATTTCCTACCCCTCACTCTAGCACTATGCATATGACACGTATCACTACCAATCACAACATCAAGCATCCCCCCACAAACATAAGAAATATGTCTGATAAAAGAGTTACTTTGATAGAGTAAATAATAGAGGTTCAAGCCCTCTTATTTCTAGAATTATAGGAATTGAACCTACTCCTAAGAACTCAAAAATCTTCGTGCTACCAAACTACACCACATTCTATAAGTAAGGTCAGCTAAACAAGCTATCGGGCCCATACCCCGAAAATGTTGGATTATACCCTTCCCGTACTAATAAACCCAATTGTTTTCTCAACTATCCTAACGACCGCTATTATAGGAACTATAATCGTAATAACAAGCTCACACTGATTGATAATTTGAATTGGCTTCGAAATAAACCTATTAGCCATTATCCCCATCCTAATAAAAAAATTCAACCCACGAGCCATAGAAGCAGCAACCAAATATTTCCTAACACAAGCCACCGCATCAATACTCCTCATAATAGCAATTATCATCAACCTTATATTCTCAAGCCAATGGACAATCACAAAAATCTTTAACCCAACAGCATCCATCATTATAACATCGGCCCTCATCATAAAACTCGGACTTTCCCCATTCCACTTCTGAGTACCCGAAGTTACCCAAGGCATTCCACTAGTATCAGGCCTAATTCTGCTCACATGACAAAAACTAGCACCAATATCAGTCCTATACCAAATCGCACCCTCCATTAACCTAGACATACTAATAACCTCAGCCCTCTTATCCATCCTAGTAGGTGGATGAGGAGGCCTCAACCAAACTCAACTACGAAAAATCATAGCATACTCATCAATCGCCCACATAGGATGAATAACAGCTATTTTAACATATAACCCTACAATAACAGCACTCAACATACTAATCTACATCATAATGACGCTCACCACATTCATATTATTTATACTCAACTCCTCAACCACAACACTATCACTTTCCCACACATGAAACAAAACACCCCTAATCACCTCGCTCATCTTAATCACCATACTATCACTAGGAGGCCTCCCACCACTATCCGGATTTATCCCCAAATGAATAATTATTCAAGAGCTAACAAAAAACGACAGCATCATCCTACCAACATCCATAGCCATTATAGCCCTACTCAACCTATACTTCTATATACGCCTAACCTACTCCACCTCACTAACAATATTCCCATCAACAAACAACATAAAAATAAAATGACAATTTGAAAACCCAAAACGAATAAACTTTCTACCTACACTAATTATCATGTCAACCCTACTCCTCCCACTAACACCAATCATATCTACTCTAAACTAGGAATTTAGGTTACACCAGACCAAGGACCTTCAAAGCCCTAAGCAAGTACAAACTACTTAATTCCTGCCAACTAAGGGCTGCAAGACTCTATCTTACATCAACTGAATGCAAATCAAACACTTTAATTAAGCTAAACCCTCCCTAGATTGGTGGGCCACTATCCCACGAAATTTTAGTTAACAGCTAAATACCCTAATCAACTGGCTTCAATCTACTTCTCCCGCCGCCTAAAAAAAAGGCGGGAGAAGCCCCGGCAGAATTGAAGCTGCTTCTCTGAATTTGCAATTCAACATGAAATTCACCACAGGGCCTGGTAAAAAGAGGGCTACAACCTCTGTCTTTAGATTTACAGTCTAATGCTATCTCAGCCATTTTACCTATGTTCGTTAACCGCTGACTGTTTTCAACCAACCACAAGGACATTGGTACTCTCTACCTACTATTTGGCGCCTGAGCTGGAATGGTGGGGACCGCCCTGAGCCTTCTAATTCGCGCTGAGCTAGGTCAACCTGGAACCTTGCTAGGAGACGACCAGATCTACAATGTAGTTGTAACCGCCCATGCATTCGTAATAATTTTCTTTATAGTCATGCCTATCATAATCGGAGGATTCGGAAATTGATTAGTCCCCTTAATAATTGGAGCACCCGACATAGCATTCCCACGAATAAACAACATAAGCTTCTGACTTCTCCCACCATCATTTCTTCTTCTACTCGCTTCCTCGATAGTCGAAGCCGGTGCCGGAACAGGCTGAACCGTTTATCCGCCATTAGCTGGTAATCTAGCCCATGCAGGAGCCTCCGTTGACCTAACCATCTTCTCCCTACACCTAGCCGGAGTATCTTCAATTCTAGGTGCCATCAATTTTATTACTACAATTATCAACATAAAACCACCAGCCATATCCCAATATCAAACGCCTCTGTTCGTGTGATCCGTTTTAATCACAGCTGTACTCCTATTACTAGCTCTTCCAGTCTTAGCAGCAGGAATTACCATGCTACTAACAGACCGTAATCTGAACACTACTTTTTTCGACCCAGCAGGGGGAGGCGACCCCATCTTATACCAGCACCTCTTTTGATTTTTCGGCCATCCTGAAGTCTATATTCTAATTCTACCAGGCTTCGGAATAATCTCACATATTGTTACATATTACTCAGGGAAAAAAGAACCCTTCGGTTACATAGGAATAGTCTGAGCCATAATATCTATTGGATTCCTAGGGTTCATTGTATGAGCTCACCACATATTTACTGTTGGCATGGACGTTGACACACGAGCATACTTCACATCCGCCACTATGATCATCGCTATTCCCACTGGCGTAAAAGTATTCAGTTGATTAGCTACCCTTCATGGGGGAAATATCAAATGATCGCCGGCCATACTATGAGCCCTGGGCTTTATTTTCCTGTTCACGGTGGGAGGCTTAACAGGGATTGTCTTAGCCAACTCATCATTAGACATTGTACTTCACGACACATACTACGTAGTAGCACATTTCCACTATGTTTTATCTATAGGAGCAGTTTTTGCTATCATAGGAGGATTCGTCCACTGATTCCCCCTATTCTCGGGATACACACTCAACCAAACTTGAGCAAAAATCCACTTCACAATTATATTCGTAGGGGTGAATATGACCTTCTTTCCACAACACTTTCTTGGTCTCTCAGGAATGCCACGTCGCTACTCAGACTACCCAGATGCATACACAACATGAAACACTATCTCATCTATAGGATCCTTTATCTCGCTTACAGCGGTAATACTAATAGTCTTCATAATTTGAGAAGCATTCGCATCCAAGCGAGAGGTATCAACAGTAGAACTAACCACCTCCAACCTTGAGTGACTACATGGATGCCCTCCCCCATATCACACATTCGAAGAACCTGTTTACGTAAATCTAAAATAAGAAAGGAAGGAATCGAACCCCCTCTAACTGGTTTCAAGCCAATATCATAGCCTTTATGTCTTTCTCTCTCAATAAGTGAGATATTAGTAAAAATTACATAACTTTGTCAAAGTTAAATTATAGGCTAAACCCCTATATATCTCTATGGCTTACCCATTCCAACTAGGATTTCAAGACGCAACATCCCCTATCATAGAAGAACTACTTCACTTCCACGACCACACACTAATAATTGTATTCTTAATTAGTTCTCTAGTGTTGTATATTATTTCACTCATACTAACAACCAAACTAACACACACAAGCACTATAGACGCACAAGAAGTAGAGACTATTTGAACCATCCTGCCAGCCATTATCCTAATTCTAATTGCCCTCCCATCGCTACGAATCCTTTATATAATAGATGAGATTAATAACCCCTCCCTAACCGTTAAAACCATAGGACATCAATGATACTGAAGCTATGAATATACAGACTACGAAGACCTAACCTTTGACTCCTACATAATCCCCACATCAGACCTAAAACCAGGAGAGTTGCGACTTCTAGAAGTCGATAACCGAGTAGTGCTACCTATAGAAATAACAATCCGAATGCTAATCTCATCCGAAGATGTTCTTCACTCATGAGCTGTCCCTTCTTTAGGCCTAAAAACGGATGCAATCCCAGGACGATTGAATCAAACAACCCTAGTATCCACACGACCAGGATTATATTACGGACAGTGCTCAGAAATTTGCGGCTCAAATCACAGCTTCATACCTATTGTCCTTGAATTAGTCCCACTAAAACACTTCGAAAAATGATCTGCATCAATACTCTAAGACCATTAAGAAGCTATATAGCGTTAGCCTTTTAAGTTGAAGATTGAGAGCCCAAATCTCTCCTTAATGATATGCCACAACTAGACACATCAACTTGATCTATCACAATTGTATCAATAATCATTACCCTGTTCATCATATTCCAACTTAAACTTTCAAAATACTCCTACCCCTCAAGCCCAGAACTAAAATTAACTAAAACACCAACACATACAACACCCTGAGAATCAAAATGAACGAAAACTTATTTACCTCTTTCGCTACCCCAACAATCATAGGACTACCTATTGTTATCCTAATTATCATATTTCCCAGCATCATATTCCCCTCACCTAATCGACTAATTAACAACCGCCTAGTCTCCACCCAACAATGACTCCTTCAACTCACATCAAAACAAATATTATCTATCCACAACAACAAGGGTCAGACTTGAGCACTAATACTCATATCTCTTATCTTATTTATCGGCTCAACCAACCTGCTAGGCCTACTACCACACTCATTCACACCCACTACTCAACTATCAATAAACCTAGGCATAGCCATCCCCTTGTGAGCAGGGACGGTGTTTCTAGGCTTCCGCCATAAGACCAAAGCATCCCTAGCCCACTTCCTCCCCCAAGGAACACCTGTCTTCCTCATTCCTATACTAGTAATCATTGAAACCATCAGCCTATTTATTCAACCCGTAGCCCTAGCTGTACGATTAACAGCCAACATTACTGCCGGACACCTTTTAATGCACTTAATCGGAGGAGCAACACTAGCTCTAATAAACATCAGCCCTACCACGGCTCTTATCACATTTATTATTCTCATCTTACTCACTATTCTTGAGTTCGCCGTAGCCCTGATTCAAGCCTACGTGTTTACTCTTCTAGTAAGCCTCTACCTACATGACAACACCTAATGACCCACCAAACCCACGCATACCACATAGTAAACCCCAGCCCTTGACCTCTAACAGGAGCCCTTTCAGCCCTCCTAATAACATCAGGACTAGCAATGTGATTCCACTATAACTCAATACTTCTACTAACCCTCGGACTAATAACCAACTTGTTAACTATATACCAATGGTGACGAGATATTGTTCGAGAAAGCACATTCCAAGGCCACCACACACTTGTAGTACAAAAAGGACTCCGATATGGCATGATCCTGTTTATTATCTCAGAAGTATTTTTCTTCTCTGGCTTTTTCTGAGCCTTCTATCACTCAAGCCTAGCCCCAACCCCTGAACTTGGAGGTTGTTGACCACCCACTGGCATCCACCCCCTAAACCCCATAGAAGTACCCCTCCTAAACACCTCAGTTCTCCTAGCATCTGGAGTTTCCATCACCTGGGCCCACCATAGCCTAATGGAAGGCAATCGCAAACACATACTTCAAGCCCTGTTCATTACAATCTCACTGGGGGTCTACTTCACACTACTTCAAGCTTCAGAATACTATGAAGCGCCATTTACAATCTCAGACGGTATCTATGGATCAACATTCTTCGTCGCCACAGGCTTTCACGGACTACATGTAATTATTGGCTCCACTTTTCTTATTGTCTGTTTCCTACGTCAACTAAAATTTCACTTCACATCTAATCACCACTTTGGGTTCGAAGCAGCTGCTTGATACTGACACTTCGTAGACGTAGTATGACTATTCCTATACGTGTCTATCTATTGATGAGGCTCCTATTCTTTTAGTATTAAACAGTACAATTGACTTCCAATCAATCAGCTTCGGTAAAACCCGAAAAAGAATAATTAACCTCATACTAACATTATTTATCAACACATCACTAGCCTCAGTGCTAGTACTCATCGCATTCTGACTACCCCAATTGAACATTTATACAGAAAAAGCCAGTCCCTATGAATGCGGATTTGACCCAATAGGATCAGCACGCCTACCTTTCACCATAAAATTTTTCTTAGTAGCCATTACATTTTTACTCTTTGATTTGGAAATCGCCCTCCTCCTACCCCTACCATGAGCATCCCAAACTACAAACCTAAAAACCATACTTACCATAGCACTAATCCTAATTTCACTACTAGCTGCTAGCCTAGCCTACGAATGAACCCAAAAAGGACTAGAATGAGCTGAATATGATAATTAGTTTAAACTAAAATAAATGATTTCGACTCATTAGACTATGATTTACTTCATAATTATCAAATGTCGCTAATCCATATTAATGTCTTTCTAGCATTTACAACATCCCTTATGGGACTATTAATATACCGATCCCACCTAATATCTTCACTCCTATGCCTAGAGGGCATAATATTATCACTATTTATTATAGCAACTATAATAGTCCTAAACTCCCATTTCACACTAGCTAGCATAATGCCCATCATTCTTCTAGTGTTCGCAGCCTGTGAAGCTGCATTAGGACTATCCCTACTAGTTATAATCTCCAACACTTACGGCACAGACTACGTACAAAACCTTAACCTCCTTCAATGTTAAAAATTATTATCCCTACCCTAATATTAATTCCACTAACATGACTATCAAAAAATAGTATAATTTGAATCAACACCACAGCTTACAGCCTACTAATCAGCTTTATCAGCCTACCACTCCTGAGCCAATTTAACGAAAACAGCCTCAACATATCCCTGACATTCTTTTCTGACCCTTTATCAGCACCTTTACTAGTACTAACCACGTGACTGCTCCCACTTATAATCATAGCTAGTCAACACCACCTATCCAAAGAGCCTCTAGCCCGAAAAAAACTCTACATTACAATACTAATTACACTCCAAACATTCCTAATCATAACCTTTACCGCCACAGAACTAATCTTCTTTTACATCTTATTCGAAGCAACACTAATTCCAACACTAATTATTATTACTCGATGGGGTAACCAAACAGAACGACTAAACGCAGGCTTTTACTTTTTATTTTATACACTAACAGGATCACTCCCGCTCCTAATCGCACTAACCCACATCCAAAACCTTACAGGCTCACTAAACCTTCTACTAATTCAATACTCAACCCAGACACTGCCCAGCTCCTGATCCAATGCCTTCCTATGACTAGCATGCATAATAGCATTCATAGTAAAAATACCCCTCTACGGCCTTCACCTCTGATTACCCAAAGCACATGTTGAAGCCCCTATTGCCGGCTCCATAGTACTGGCAGCTATTTTACTAAAACTAGGAGGTTACGGAATGCTACGGATCACTATAATTCTTAACCCCCTAACAAGTTATATAGCTTACCCGTTTCTTATACTATCCTTGTGAGGAATAATTATAACTAGCTCAATCTGCTTACGCCAAACAGACCTAAAGTCACTCATTGCATACTCCTCCGTCAGCCATATGGCTTTAGTAATCGTAGCCGTTCTTATCCAAACACCATGAAGCTATATAGGAGCCACAGCCCTAATAATTGCCCACGGCCTCACGTCATCAGTATTATTCTGCCTAGCAAACTCAAATTATGAACGAACCCACAGCCGAACCATAATCCTAGCTCGAGGACTACAAACGCTTCTCCCACTAATAGCCATATGATGACTACTAGCAAGCCTGACTAATCTAGCCCTACCCCCAACAATTAACCTTGTCGGAGAACTATTTGTAGTAATATCATCATTCTCATGATCCAATATCACTATTATCCTCATGGGAACTAACATCATCATCACTGCCTTATACTCCCTCTATATACTAATCACAACACAACGAGGTAAATACACCCACCACATCAACAACATCAAACCATCATTTACACGAGAAAATACACTTATAGCCCTCCATCTCTTACCCCTATTACTCTTATCACTCAACCCTAAAATTATTCTAGGAACCCTGTACTGCAGATATAGTTTAACAAAAACATTAGATTGTGAATCTAATAATAGAAGCTTAACACTTCTTATCTACCGAGAAAGAATGCAAGAACTGCTAACTCATGCCCCCGTACTTAACAGTATGGCTCTCTCAAACTTTTAAAGGATGGTAGTTATCCGTTGGTCTTAGGAATCAAAAAATTGGTGCAACTCCAAATAAAAGTAATAAACATATTCCCTTCTCTTATACTAACCTCATTACTTATACTAACACTACCAATTATTACAACCACTATCAACACCCACAAAAACAGCACATATCCCTACTACGTAAAAAATATCATCTCATATGCCTTCATCACAAGCCTCATCCCCACAATAATGTTTATCCACTCAGGCCAAGAAATAATTATCTCAAACTGACACTGAATAACAATTCAAACTCTAAAATTATCACTCAGCTTCAAACTAGACTACTTCTCAATGATCTTCGTACCAGTAGCACTTTTCGTCACATGATCCATCATAGAGTTCTCAATATGATACATACACTCAGATCCCCACATCACCCAATTCTTCAAGTACCTTCTCATATTCCTCATTACCATAATAATCTTAGTAACAGCCAACAACCTCTTCCAGCTGTTCATCGGGTGAGAAGGCGTAGGAATCATATCATTCTTATTAATTAGCTGATGATATGGTCGAACAGACGCAAACACAGCCGCCCTACAAGCTATCCTGTACAACCGCATCGGTGATATCGGCTTTATTATATCAATAGCATGATTCCTATTCAACACAAACTCATGAGACCTTCAACAAATTTTTTCACTCAACTACAACCACACAGACCTCCCACTAATAGGTCTCCTCCTAGCCGCAACCGGAAAATCCGCTCAATTCGGCCTACATCCCTGACTCCCCTCGGCCATAGAAGGACCAACACCAGTCTCAGCCCTACTTCACTCAAGCACAATAGTCGTTGCGGGCGTATTCCTACTAATTCGCTTCCACCCACTAATAGAAAACAATAAAACAGTCCAAACATTCACACTATGCTTGGGGGCCATTACCACCTTATTCACAGCAATCTGCGCTCTCACCCAAAACGATATCAAAAAAATCATCGCCTTCTCTACCTCAAGTCAACTAGGCCTAATAATCGTAACTATTGGTATTAACCAACCATACCTGGCTTTCCTCCATATCTGCACACACGCATTCTTCAAAGCCATACTATTCATATGCTCTGGGTCTATCATCCACAATCTAAACGACGAACAAGACATTCGAAAAATAGGCGGTCTATTCAAAGCAATACCCTTCACTTCAACCTCCCTTATTATCGGAAGCCTCGCACTTACAGGCATACCATTCCTCACAGGTTTCTACTCCAAAGACCTAATCATCGAAACCGCCAACACATCATACACCAACGCCTGAGCCCTACTAATCACACTTATTGCCACATCTCTAACAGCTGCCTACAGCACCCGAATAATCTTCTTTACACTTCTAGGACAACCTCGCTCCCTAACCCTTATCACAATCAATGAAAACAACCCCCTCCTAATAAACTCCATCAAACGCCTCCTAATCGGTAGCATCTTCGCCGGATTCTTCATCTCCAACAACATTTATCCAACAACCATTCCAAAAACAACCATACCCCACTACCTCAAACTTACAGCCCTTGCCGTAACCATCCTAGGCTTCATAATAGCACTTGAACTCAGCCTCGCAACATACAACCTAAAGCTCAAACACCCGTCAAGCCCATTAAAATTCTCCAATCTCCTCGGATACTTCCCAACCATTTTCCACCGACTACCACCACTCATAGGCCTATCAACAAGCCAAAAATCAGCATCACTACTACTAGACCTAATTTGACTAGAAAAAATTCTACCAAAATCAATCTCCCAATTCCAAGTAAAAACCTCAACACTAGTGTCAAACCAAAAAGGCCTAATCAAACTATATTTCCTCTCATTCCTCGTCACCCTAACCCTAAGCCTACTCCTACTTATGCCCCACGGGTAATCTCTAAAATCACTAAAACACCAACAAACAACGACCAACCAGTTACAATAATAATCCAAACCCCATAACTATACAATGCAGAAACCCCAACAATCTCCTCACTAAAAACCCCAAAACCCCCATTATCAGAAACCGCCCAATCCCCCACACCACTAAAATTGAACACAACCTCCACCTCACCATTCTTATAAACATATAAAACCAACACGACCTCTATTAATACACCTAAAACAAACGCACCTAAAACAGCTGCACTAGATACCCATACCTCAGGATACTGCTCAGTAGCTATAGCCGTCGTATAACCAAAAACCACCAACATCCCACCCAAATAAATTAAAAAAACCATCAACCCCAAAAAAGAACCCCCAAAACTCATCACAATACCACAACCAAATCCACCACTCATAATCAACACTAAACCCCCGTAAATAGGTGAAGGTTTTGAAGAAAACCCCACAAAACTAATTACAAATATGATACTCAAAATAAATCCAATATATGCTATCATTATTCTTACATGGACTCCAACCATGACCAACGGCATGAAAAACCTTCGTTGTACTTCAACTACAAGAACACCAATGACTAACATCCGTAAATCCCACCCACTAATCAAAATTATCAACCACTCATTCATCGATCTGCCCACCCCATCAAACATCTCAGCCTGGTGAAATTTTGGCTCCCTGCTAGGAATCTGCTTAATCTTACAAATTCTAACCGGACTATTCCTTGCCATACACTACACACCAGACACAATAACTGCCTTCTCATCTGTCGCCCATATCTGTCGAGACGTGAATTACGGCTGAATTATCCGCTATCTCCATGCCAACGGAGCATCCATATTCTTTATCTGCCTATTCATCCACGTAGGACGCGGTATCTATTAC